CACATTTCAATCATTTACAACAAACTAGAACTTTCTTGTGATAAGGCCCAAAAGAATTAGAAAGTAAACCCTCTGTTCTGATAAAAATCTTAGACAATATTAGTATTGAGAAATAAATAAATAAAAATGGAACTTGATTGGATAGGAGAGGTGCTTGCATTAATGGCCTTCCCCTCTTGTACCTACTAAACTCCCTAACCAAGTCCTTTGATTGTAATGGATTAGAGCCTAAATTAAATGGAGTTAAATGGTTTCCTACCTTCCCATAAAAAATAGGTGGCAGCTCTTTTATGTGAATCGACCTATTTTGGCAACTTGTGGGTCAACGATACTGTGGGATAAACGATTTGTTGTCATTATAGATCTCAATGGTTCATACTCGATTTTGAGAAAGTCTAATCCAACATGTGGGTGCATCAAAATATGTGGTATCCACAAGAGGTCAGTGTAATTATATAACATATATAAGATTATTAATTGTATTTTCTTCAAGCCTCAAGGAGATGAGTAAATTTACCCTTATAAACGTATATTGAAAAAAAAAAAATGCTTAAAATATAAATTATATAGATCAAAATCATGTGTACCTAAAATATACTCTTGGCCTTTGTCTTTGCCTTGTTTACATTTGCCTTGTGTCTATTGATAAATAAGGTAAAAGTAAAAGGCACTAGTAGACATAAGATGACTTGTGCTCAAAATGGCATGAAATTTGTTCAAGACATTAAAAATTTCATGACGATCAAGACCCATCAGTCTTGAATGGCCTACAATGGATTTTGGGCGAATTCCAAAATTTAGGCCTTTAGCTTCGCGATGTTTCATTTTTAGAAGTAATTGATTCGTCTATAACTTGGTCCATACCAATATGATTTTGCCTTGATTTTTTCCAGTATATTTCCTTTTTTGGTAATTTTTTTTGTTTTATTTGATTTTGGCTTGGTTAGCAAGTACTCCCTCTGTCCCAAAATATTAGTTCCTTATTCCATTTTTCATTATCCCAAAATATTATTCCCTCTTCAAAAATCAAGTACAAAAATAATATAAATTTCCTATTTTGCCTTTCTTTTAAATTAATAAACAATATAAATAGTACAATTATGACATTGATATTCCCAAAAATGTACTATCAAAAGGGTAATTTTGAAAAATCAACTTTTTAAAAATGCAATAATTGTACTACTAAAAAAAGTTGGATTCCCCCAAATGGACTATTATTTTGGGACAGAGGGAGTAATTAACCTAGGATTTAGTTTACCTTTTTTCTTTAGGTATTCTCTAGTATAAATTGACATGTATGCCTTAGGGCAAATGAGTTTTATTTTGAAGAATTAGCATTATTACAAGAGAGACTATCTTTTTTGTGTCTAATCCGTGGTTGTTCAAGGGTTCGAGTGTTCATTCCATTACCTTCCTTGCATCACCATTCTTTTCTTTTTCTCTTTTTCACTCATTTATCCTACTCATGTCAACACGCATAACTGCCTACACCATAACTGCCTTTGTAATACCCCCAACTTTTCAAAATATAATTATTTCGGTATTAGAAAAGCCAAACCAAGTAAAAGGCAGCTCTTTCTTGGTCATCGATAGGGGTGTTTCTTTTGCCTTTGTATATTTTAATAAACTCAGTGCAACTCATGTCAGTGTTAAACGTGAAAGTTACTGGTGGGGGTTCTAGTAAGCACTGATTTCTAATCCTAGAATGGGGAGTCCAATTAAATAGGCTACGTCTAGGATGGTTGGAGATATCATGCCAAACCGTAGGAGTATTGAGTTGCAAGATTGTGACCAGAAACAGGCAGTAGCAGCAATTAACCACTTATTCATATCAAATTTGAGGGTCAACAGACGAATTACCTCACTAATGCCTAGATGTTTCCATACATCTGAGTCATAAGCTTCAATTCGTTTGGCCCAGCTTTGCCAAGAAGAATCTAGTTGTCTCAATGATCTAAGAGAGTTTTTGTTGTTGTCCCAATTTACCCAATTGAATTTTGGTTGGTTGGGATGCAGAGTTTCGCCATTAGCAAGTGGGCAGTATGGCGTTAGTTCATCTAGGAAATAGGCTGTAAAGGTAGGTCCTAGGGTTGCTTTGGCTACGGTGGTGGTACTTGGAATCAAAGTTAAGTCCAGCATTAGAGAGCTGGTGATTTCCCTAATGGTTTTGGGGAATCTAAGATGTTCATCATTGGTTTCATCTTCTTTCATGGATTTCAAGAGCCATTGTTTAGAGTTCTAAGTTGTTTGGTGTTCTAATATGGGAGTTTCGAAAGAGAGAGAGAAGATTGAAATGAGGTGAAGTTAGAAGGTTTAAGCTTTTATAGCTTATGGTGGGCCTAGTGTTTAGATTTGTTCAAATTAAGTACATTATTTATCTGGCCCAGGAATGAATTTGTTTAAGTTAAAAATCATTATTATTTATTTAACTTAAATAAGGGGGTATTATTTGCACCAATTTTTGTGAAATTTCTATCGACAAGTGTATCAATCAGATGATGACACATGGCAGAGTCAAAGTGAAAGTCCTTCATCAATCAAAGGGACAGGTGGCATGAAAAGGTTGAGCACGTGCATAGAATGATTCAAGTGATGGAGCAATTATCAGGCTAAGTTATGAACTTAGTGGGTTGTTTTCGGAAAGGAATATGTACGAGATAGAAGGCGTTACCCTATCAATGTGGTGCTCGAAGTGTAAAGGGACATGTGGCAACATGGAGGAGAGATGGTTTGACAAGAAGATTTGAAGGCTTAGTAGAGTTTGAAGACTTAGAAGTGGGGAGGCAGTTACCATGGCAGTTGGCAATTGCAGTTGCGGGTTCAAATGAGTCATGCAATCATGGGCCAAGAAAAGAGGAAGAAGATATAAGAGCCAAGGATTTGGTAGAAAGGAGGTCATCAACAACACAACAACTTAGCTTATATCTAGGAGTAGTTCTTTCAATTTAGGAGTAGTTTTCTCTGTAACTTGTAACCTTTATGACCTTTGGTGGTTTCATTATAGAATTACCTATTGTTTATTTTGTTTACTTTGTCGATTGTAATTTTGTTCCGAAGAAGTCCTCATTCTGTTGAGGCATTTAAATCAAAAGCATAGTCGTCTAGTTTCTTTGTTTGATTGTTTGTTTAAATTGTTGCTCAATTTCTGTCGATTGGGAGTGAGCATAATTTTCACTAACATATTCTTGGAAAAAGGACTTCCAACTTGGATCTTTAGGTGGTGATACTAATTACAAACGCAATGGAGATGTGTTGTTGTGACTGTAACACTGTGTAATTGTATTATTAAGTGTCAATGGCACCATGAAACATGTTTTTCACAAATTTCCAGTGTAGAGGTTGTTAGATGGACTTGCGACATAGGCCAAAAGATTTAAAAGTGCTAGTTTTAAATTGAGATTGGATTCAGGTGTTATTTTCGTTGTGATGTTTTCTCTGTTCTTGAACACTAATTCCTTTTAGTAAAGGTTGAAGGCCAGAAGAGTAATTTTACTTTCTTTCTTTTTGTGTGTTATTTGAAATGATTGTAATATTCTCAAATTGGAAAATTCTTTTTACACACTACTAAAAACAACATAGGGGTGTAGTCTACCCATTCAAAGATTTTATACAAAATGCTCTTCACACACCATCATCACATATAGACATATAAACATCCAAAATAAATTGGTTTTGAAGATTTAGTGTTTAAGAATATTGAAATCAATTGGTTTTAAGGTTTAAGAACATTAAAATCAATTGGTTTGGAAGATTTAGTGTTTAAGAATATTGAAATCAATTGGTTTTAGGGTTTAAGAACATGAAAATCAATTGGTTTTGAAGATTTAATTAGTTTTGAAGAGTTGCACACCATGGATAACACTGAGATTGTTGATTTCGAACAATGCAACAATAAAAATGTCAATTTAATACTTAGGTTTTTTATTTTTGTTTATCTCATTCGTATAATCGTCGAGAATATGACTTTGTTCGTCACGTGTTCGGAAAATCAGAGTTGAACTTTTACATAATGTTTGATTACTTTTATTCGAACAAAACAGTTTTGTTCAAATTATTAAAGTTGACCAAATTACAAATGTTCATACATAAAAAATTGAACAATTTAATTCCTTAAGAATTTCATTTCTTAAATTTAATTTATTTTTGGTATATTTTCTTTTCTTTTTTAAAAAGTAGATGTGTTCAATATTTACAAAAATGATAATAATAATAATAACATATAAAATTTAATATATTTTCAACACGTCTGAACGAATTGAAATTCTTCAGCATATCAAGTATGAACGTATTTATTTTATTCAACATAAATATTTTGAACATATTCAATTTGTTCAATTTTTTTTTTTCTACAATGATATTGTATCTCCACCCAATTAGATAATCTTGAATTGCCATACCTATGGATAGTAAGTCATTCCAAAAAATTGTGAGGCCTTATCATGTTAAGCCTATCACTCTCGATTTTGTCATTATGAGGATTATGAGAGTCATTACATTGTAGTGATAACTCTTTTAACTTCTCCTTAGATATTAAATTTACATCCCTTGCATCCTTAGTAGAACTTACATTCTCCAGTTTTGATATGTGTATTACCCTACAAATGTGTGATAAGTTTTCCAATTCTCCTATTCTTTGCCCACTACATTTACCCTCGATAAAATTTGACAACATTTGTAGCTTTGTTAATTTACCTATCTGTAGCGACATCTTTTCTAATGATAGTTTCGCATTAGTCATATCAAAATGGCGTAGGTTCACTAGGTTTCCCATGTTTATAGGCAACTTTTCTAGTTTTTCACAAAATTTCAAGAACAAGACTTGTAAATTGTAAAGGGTTACCACCGACTTAGGTAGCTTTCTAATCTGAGAATGGGATACATTGAGGTACCTTAGATGCCTTAGATCTCCAATAGAATTTGTTAGTTCATCTATCCCAGAACTACACAAACGCAACTCACGTAAGCACTTTAACATTGGCAACAAGTCATGAAGCAAGTACCCCATTATGTAGTTCCTCCTACACGGTGAAAACTCTAAGAAGGTTCGTAAGCATCTGGCATCATCGAAAATTTTGAACTTTTTGATTCCGTCATATTTGCTAGCAACACAAGATGAATGTCGAGCTTTATTTGAAATTTTCTTCTGCTTGTCATCCTCTAAATAATTCTTCAACCAAAAATAGATGTCCTCTGCAATTGCTTGAGCCAAATCATTGATGGAGTCATGCATTATGAATAGCAATTCATTATGACTTAACGATTGACAAAACCCTAAATTTCCCTAATTCAACACCACTGTTGTCCTCAAACCATAGATTATCCAAGTCCTTACCCAAATCAACGGCTCTTTTTGCCTCTGTACAACCACCATTGACGATCATAGTCTCGGCGCCGTTGATGACGTCGATTTGAGGTAGAGAGTCCTTCGTAAGGGTATAAAAGTCCTCATGGGACGTAGTCTCATCTCTTGAACTCTCTGACGGAGACACCATGGCAATCATGGTGGGGGAGGGGCTCCGACGATTGCGATTCGGCATGGAAGATCGACGATTTAGTAGAGAAAGGAGAATTAGGGCATGGTCGAAGAAGATCTTCTTGGGACGACGTCGTGTGGCAAGATCGGTGATGGTGTGATTTGATTGTCAAAGACAAATCTTGATATGACCTTTCACATTGCTGGTGTCGCCATTAAAGTCTCGTTTTCTCGCAAGAGGGTGGAGATCTCTTGATGCCGCCCTGTTTTCACCGGCCATAAAGTCCTTGTCGAAGAGGTAGAGAGCAGACGCGCTCTTCAAGAAGACGGAGCTGCGGCAGTCAACAGTCAGAGGAGAATCGACTCAGCACTGGAGAAGAGAGAAATGAAAATGAGAGAAGACAGAAATGGAAGGGGTGATTAAGAGAAAGAGAGAAGGGTGATTAAGGGCCAATTTCCCTGTTTGGGGCATTTTGAATATTTTAGTCCGACTCTACGTTGTGTTTTTTATTTTATTTTCAATATGGGGTGAAATGGGTTTACCAAAGTCATTTTCATTAAAATGACATTGGCAAAGTCGTTTTTGATGAATAAAAAAATAATAAAATTTTCCTTCATAAAAACAAAACTGTTTTTACTTAACACTTAATTAATTTTAAGTTTATATAAAATGATTTTTCTAAAACCGTTTTTATTTTTATTAATTTTTTTTTCAATATATAAATATTGTTTGCCTAAAATAATAATTTGAAAATAAATAGAAAAACGGTTTTTGTAAAACCGTTTTTATTTTTAATAAATTTTTTTTTTCAATTTATAAATATTGTTTGCCTAAAATAAGAATTTTATCATAAATGGAAAACGGTTTTCGGAAAGCCGTTTCATTTTACACAAAACCCATCTCCTTCTCCCTTTACGAAAGTCGTTTCTTCTTTTCCAGCCCATCTTCTTCTCCCTCGCTCAGCCGAACTCTGAAGGGAAGACCGACGACAAAGAGGAAGCAACGAACAACGGCCAACAGTACACCACCGGAAAAACGAGGAACACCTTCATCAAACACCCACATTCAGGTTTGTATCGCATAAATGAGGGTTTTCATTTCAAATTTGGGATTTTAAATTTCGAAATTAGGGCATTGAAAAGTTAGGGCATTAAATTTCGAAATTTGGGGTTTTCATTTCATTGCTGAATCTAGGGCATTAAAAAGTCACACATTTTGTTATTCGTAGGATATAGTTTACGATTTTCTGTATCTCAGTTCACTTTTTCTGTATCTCTGCTCACTCCTTTTTTGTTTATCATATAATATCCTTATTTTCCTCTTTTTCAATACACTCTTAGCCACAAGATGTAGTGGAATTTTGAAATATTGAAATCTTGAGACATAATCTTGTGTTTGGAAATGTATTGGGAATATAGGGCAAAATTTTAGAACAAAAGTAGGAAGAGCAATGAAGTAGAGTGGGATTGGATTTGTGGTGTTCTATTCCTACACCATTCCTAGTTGGGGCAATACTACTGGCCTTGGCTCATTATTAGGATCCTTGGGGCATCTCCAATGGAGATGCTGAGCACACTACACACAGATTTATACAAGTATACACACCACACGTTTGGCCATAAGCTAATACACCTAAAAAATCAAAATTTTATATATACTAGGGTAATACACCTAAAAAATCAAAATTTTATATATACTAGGGTAATACACCTAAAAAATCAAAATTTTATATATACTAGGGTAATACACCTAAAAAATCAAAATTTTATATATACTAGGGTAATACACCTAAAAAATCAAAATTTTATATATACTAGGGTAATACACCTAAAAAATCAAAATTTTATAAAAATTAGGGTAATACACCTAAAAAATCAAAATTTTATATATACTAAGTTTGAATTGAAAATAGCAAGTTCACAAGAAGTAAAGTTCGAATTGGAAGTACAGAGAGTTTACTATTGCTTTGTTAGTTTGGTCAAATGATGCCTTTGGCCTTCAAATCTTCAATTAATAGTCTAGATATATATACAAATATCAACAATCCAATGGTGTGGGAACTATCTAATTCTTCCATTTTATAACCAAATGATTGCCTATTATATATTTTAATTAATAGTCTACATATGTATAAATTTCAATGATCTAGTAGTATGAAAGCTATCTACATCCTTCCACCACCTTATGATGAATAAATTCTACAATTATCTACCTAATTATAGGGATTTCTACAAAATTTTACATAAATCTAAAATCGAATTCGTAACTCAAATATTTGATAAAATTCCCAAGTTGTGACATTATTCCCCGCCTAATACGACCACATCCTTAACGCAAATTCCTCGTGAAAGCTTTTGATCTTCTCTTTGAATTGATACAAGAGTTTTGCTAACTCGCTAACTCTCAACTTGTCAATTTCAAGTAGTGCATCTATTTTACCTGGTATTTTTAACACATCATTGGAGTTCCTAGTGATTCCAAACCTTTAAAATATCCAAATTCAACCTTTTAAATCTCCACATTCAAGACGTATTAGTAGTATAATTTTCTCTCAATAAATGCAAATTATACAGATAGCATTTTTAAGCAAGAGACTATCTTATTTATGATTGACTCATATAAACACTAGTTTTATAGTCAGTCAGTAAAGAGATGAGACATAAGCAAAAGAGTGGACTCTATGATTTCTTCTTCTTCTTCTTCTTCCCTTTCTTCCCACTGTCCCACTGTCCACTACGTTGGGATTGATCTCTCATATTAGTTAGTCAATACGGCCGGATACCAATCCAAATATATATGTATATATATATATATATGTATTTTTTAGATCATATTAGTCAGTCATTACGGCCGGATACCAATCAAAAAATATATATATTTTTGTAGGTGGGTTGAGGAAAGATTAAAAACAAAGGACAACAATGAGTTGCTTGGAGTTTTTGGTGATTGAACATCACATTGTTGTCCTCAAACCCCCTACGGCCATTGATGGACACTTGGACTTCATAATTTTCTGAGACTTTACCTCTTGAATGATCAACATGCAATTAATATGCCAAATGACCGAGGAATGGAGGGGCATATTTTAGAAGATTTAATTTTAATTGCTACATTTGGATTTTAAATTTGTCAATAGAAATGGCAAGAAAAAAAAGAAAAAACAAGATAAAAAAGTTCATAATTCTATAAGTTTGGGAATAACAAATGCCTTCAAATAATAATATAATAGGTTTGAGAAAACTTCACAACAAACTTAACATATTTTTCCTTGTATTTTAATTAACCAAATGATTGCCTATTATATATTTTAATTAATAGTCTAGATATGTATAAATTTCAATGATCTAGTAGTATGAAAGCTATCTACATCCTTCCACCACCTTATGATGAATAAATTCTACAATTATCTACCTAATTATAGGGATTTCTACAAAATTTTACATAAATCTAAAATCGCATTCGTAACTCAAATATTTGATAAAATTCCCAAGTTGTGACATTATTCCCCGCCTAATACGACCATATCCTTAACGCAAATTCCTCGTGAAAGCTTTTGATCTTCTCTTCGAATTGATGCAAGAGTTTTGCTAACTCGCTAACTCTCAACTTGTCAATTTCAAGTAGTGCATCTATTTTACTCGGTATTTTTAACACATCATTGGAGTTCCTAGTGATTCCAAACCTTTAAAATATCCAAATTCAACCTTTTAAATCTCCACATTCAAGACGTTTAGATAAGGTAGTTCATGTCTCATAAAATGAACCCATATATATATATATACTAGGCAGGGAGGCCATGGCCTTCCATGGTTTGTGTGCATGTGGTACTCACCCTGATGGACTTTCAGGATGGTATAGAGTTTGAGTTGGAAGTAGAGAGAGTTTGAATTGAAAATAGCAAGTTCACAAGAAGTAAAGTTCGAATTGGAAGTACGGAGAGTTTACCATTGCTTTGTTAGTTTGGCCAAATGATGCCTTTGGCCTTCAAATCTTCAATTAATAGTCTACATATATATACAAATATCAACAATCCAATGGTGTGGAAACTATCTAATTCTTCCATTATAAGCAAATGATTGTGTATATATGTATTTTTGAGATCATATTAGTCAGTCATTACGGCCGGATACCAATCAAAAAATATATATATTTTTGTAAGTGGGTTGAGGAAAGATTAAAAACAAAGGACAACAATGAGTTGCTTGGAGTTTTTGGTGATTGAACATCACATTGTTGTCCTTGAACCCCCTACGGCCATTGATGGACACTTGGACTTCATAATTTTCTGAGACTTTACCTCTTGAATGATCAACATGCAATTAATATGCCAAATGACCGAGGAATGGAGGGGCATATTTTAGAAGATTTAATTTTAATTACTACATTTGGATTTTAAATTTGTCAATAGAAATGGCAAGAAAAAAAAGAAAAAACAAGATAAAAAAGTTCATAATTCTAAAAGTTTGGAAATAACAAATGCCTTCAAATAATAATATAATAGGTTTGAGAAAACTTCGCAACAAACTTAACATATTTTTCCTTGTATTTTAATTACATTTTTTTTAGTACATAAAAAGAAAATTATAAATATGTGCAAGAAAGATCCTCAAAACAAATATAAAAAGAAAAAACCCACATCTAATAAGGGAATCAAACCTTTTTTGAAGAAAGGAAAATCCTATAATTCAGAGCCTCTAGATATAGAAGTCTGGCCCGTTTGGACCAAGCCCTACAATAAGCCCACAATTTTCTTGTATGACCCCACAGCCTAGCCCAACCCATTACATCGTATGCAATAACAACAGATCTAAATCGAGCCCACAGCCTAGCCCAACCCACTAAGCTTTTTTTTTCTTTCTTTGTTTGTTTGTTGTTAATTTTGGGTAGTCGTAACAAAAAATGCTGCAACAAAACCATAAACTTTTACATCATGCATAACCTAACTACAAATTGGCATAATAAAAAATATCATAACTAACCCAAAAACTTTTACATCATTAACCACAAAATTTTGGGCATTTTATTATGCTAATTTGTAACGAGATTATACATTTTGTTACTGATGTTACACAATTTTATGGTAAAACCATATTTTTGTGATAGAGTGCAACCCTTTAGGGCCAGATATATAGATACTAGGGTAAAATGCCCATGCCTTGCACGGGGTTACAGGTACTATTGTGATAAATTTAAATTTAAGAAATACACACATTCTAATAGAGTTTAGAAATGCCTGAATATTTGCTCCCCGTACAGGGCTGCAGATACTACGTTGGATATAAGGTATCCTTGTCTTTCATACTCTATGCTTTACATTTGCTTCAGTAAGTAGCTATTTTTTTTGTCATCATTTTGTGCATTAGTTTTTCAGTCTATTGATGTTTCTTATAATGGTAAGCCCTTTATCTATAATAGTCAACATAATTTTTATG